TATGTATATATGTATATATGTATATATGTATATATGTATATATGTATATATGTATATATGTATATATGTATATATATATACACACACACACACACACATACATACATACATATACATGTGTGTGTGTGTGTATCCAACAACTCTGCATATAATCATTAGATACGACAAAGATGATAATGATGCAGATTCATTTACATGGAATTTAGTCAATTAGATATTTCTTACAACAATCTATTCATTCACTGCCATCCTTTATTCTGCCTTTCACTGGTAGTCTGTGGGGGGAAAAAAAATCAAAGAGTTATCTTTCTGTAATACTTTGCGCTACACAAAAGTTGCTTGTTTCTATATTTCTTTCTGGGATTTTTCCACACCAAAATATGTTGCTGAAGTCACACTCTGGCATAGTCTTTCCTAACCTGTTGCCCTTTAGATATGCTGGCTCTGGATCTCTGGTTTCAATTACTGTCACTTAGATTCAAGATTGAAATCCCAAGAGCAATTCTTATTTGGCAAGGTCTACTAAATTCTGTATTCCTGAATGATTGTGAATAAATTTAATTAATAATGCATAGAATGCCTATTTTAATATTTAAACCAGCAAAATCAGATTCTTTATGAAAACAATAATAAGCAAATATACTCTGCGGGAGAGTCAAGCTAAAATTCTAGATGAAATAAATATTGAGGAAGAAAGAAGGCAATCTTTAGTAACAACTACCTTAAACTCCCCTATTTTAAAATTTTCAGACATGATAGGAATCAATGCTAAAGAGATGGAAATGTGTATACAGCATAAGAAAACTATGCTGAATAGACAAATTGATCCCCAAAACTCAAAGTATAATGGAAGAAAATAGTAGAAAGCAACTTTTTTTTGTTCTTAGGCTACTAAATGCCCTGTACCTACACCTTAATAAGAAGCAATGTACATCTCGTCAATAGAGAAATGGCCATTTCCCATCATTCTAATTTGGAAGGGCTACTCCCTTTCCTCCAAAGAGAAAAAGAGCATTGCAAGAGTATTTCGTTGATATTCAGTTATCTTCTACATTCTGTGGTTTTAACCATATTCAGATGAGGCAATTCATCTGAATAAGCAGAATAAAATGTTCCCTCTTCTCTTACTGTCAAGGTAAACACAGAGAATATTTTATTTTGATGGTTCTACAGGACTTCAGAAGTTTTGCAAAGCATAAAATTACTGTACGTCCATTATAGATATATATATTGTACTTATCTTACAAAGCCATTCGTTTTCCATGCAGTGCAAGTGAAGCTCTGCTTCCTTTCTTCCTGGTTATCCCACTGCATTCTTGTCCAACTCCAGGTTTCATCAGGCACTGATCGCTTTGCGGCGGTAAATAGGGTGCAAACATTATTTCCACCGCGTTTAGATTACTTGGATGCAGCCTATGGTACTTTAGATACCTGCAATGATGCTATACTTCTTACAACAGTGTGAGCACAACGCTATCTTTGCTACGCAGGAAGATTGCACAAAGAACGGTCGATGAAGCCCAACAGCAATAAGACGGGGCAAACCAAAGCATTCAGTAAAGAACCGACGGGAGTCTGGTACGCCGGCACAAGCAATGTTTTTGGACATCCCGCCATCCAATGCTCAAAACCCGGCAAGCCCGCGTCACTGCAAGTACTCCGGGGCTGGGAGAACAGCGGTAATGACAGCTGCCACTCCCCTTTTCCAGGAAAACGCGTTGCGCGGACCGAGCGGTAGGAACTTTCTGCGGCTTTGTTTCGCTTCTGCAAAGCTTTTCATATGTCACTTCACGCCTCGTCCTAAACTCCCGCAATTGCATTTTGTAAACCTGGATTGCAAGTGTTCCTCCCATACATCCCCATCGCCCTTCGGAACCACAAGCGAGGAAAACGGCAGGCCTCAAGGCATTTGTACTCTATGACTATCATTAGGAGTTGTACTTTGATTCTTGGTGAATCTTGTCTTTTTATGTACGCTGAGAGCATATGCACCAAAGACAAATTCCTTGTGTGTCCAATCACACTTGGCCAATAAAGAATTCTATTCTATTGTCACCAATTTGTACACTTGGGCTTACTAAATATTTAGAATGATTCTATCTTTCTGCTATGACATTAAGTGTTGTACTTTATGATTCTTGACGAATGTATCTTGTCTTTTTATGCAAACTGAGCGCATATGCACCAAAGACAAATTCCTTGTGCGCCCAAACACACTTTGCCAATAAATAATTCTATTCTATTCTATTAACCTAAATGGGTGGAGAACGAGTGGAGTTCCCCACTTCACTCCATCGCAGCGCTTTCTAAACTGGAGCTTAGAAGCCACAGCAAAAGCAGAGGGGGCTGAGTCCTCTAACTCTTAGTATATAGGCTTGTTTATTCGATCAACGCCACAGCTGAGTTCACACAAGGTAAGGTCTGTGGTTGGCTTGGGTGGATACGTAATTCCTGGCTCAGAGTACGGCGGGAGCCACGGGCACCACTGCGGGGGGCTACGCCGCGCGCCCTCTCCCAAACTCGTCACGCGGAGGCTTCCCCACTCCTTGGGATGAAAAAAGTCCCTCCGGTAGACTGCCATCGCGCGCGCCGCTTCCTTCCCATTGGCTGAAACGCACGTGGAAGAGACAAGTGGTGTGCGCGCGCACTCCCCCCTTTTTTTGTTTTTCTCTTTTTTTGGCCTCCTTTATTTTTCTTTTTCTCTCTCTTTCAATTTTCGGTTCCTCGCGCAGGAATAACACCTGCCCGAGATCGGCTCTGTGGGCGGTGTGTGTGGTGGTGGAGGAGGTGGAAGGAGAGAATCGCGAGGCGTGAGGTGGCCCCGGACCCGCGAAAGGGTGCGCGCGCGGGCGTGTGTTTGTGTGAGAGCGCGAGCCGGAGAAGCCGGGTGCGGCGCATGCGTGTTGCGCTGCCCCAGGCCTGCAGCGGCCGCAGTCACTTCCTGCCCTTGGCCCATCCGGCTCCGGGGTCGCGTCGCGCGGCCGCTTGGGCGGGACGGGCGGCGGTAACTTTCACACGGGACGCTCTGCGGGAGCGCTCCCCTTTCCCCCTCTCCTCCTCGGCGGAGGCGCGGCTGCCCGTGAGAGGACTCGGCTGGCTCCCGCTGTCACCTGCCGCTGTCTGGAGAGCCCCTCTCCGGCTTTCCTCCCGCGCGCACTGCCATCCCGTCCGAAGCGCCGCCGAGCGGGTTGCGCTCGATGGGCTAAAATCGCCGCTTCTCCTCCTCCTCCGGCTGGGCTGGCGGCTGCCCGTCTTTCAGGAGCCTCGGTAGGTGTGGTAGCGGTTGTAACTTCTCCGGCCAGCCCCTCTCCACAGCCACGCCGGCTCGGCTCCCTTCGAAGGCTGCGAGCTGAGACTTTGTGCGCCTCTTGTCTGTGTCTGTGTGTGGGGAGAGAGCGAGAAAGTGCGAGCCCCGCCGCTGCTTTGTAAAAGAGACTGGCTGATTTAAGTGACAGGTGGCCCGAAAGGAGACGCCCAGGGGAGCAGAGGTGATGGGAGAAGGCGCCCGCTCTGGATGAAGCGCTCTCCCGGCTGAAGTTTCTGTATTTGTGCGTCAGGAGGGAAAGGTGTTTCGAGGGGGGTGGGATTAAGCTGTAATGGTGGAGGTGGGCTTGGTGATGGATCCGATGGTGCTTTTTTCCCTCGGGGACAACCCTAAAGGTAAAGGTTCCCCTCGCACATATGTGCTATTCGTTCCCGACTCTAGAGGGTGGTGCTCATCTTCCTTTCAAAGCCAAAGAGCCAACAATGTCCAAAGACGTCATGTGGCCGGCAAAGGCACACAGAATGCTGTTACCTTCCCACCAAAGTGGTCCCTATTTTTCTACCTGCATTTTTTTTACATGGTTTCAAACTGCTAAGTTGGCAGAAGTAATTACACAGCGCTAGAGATTCAAACTGCCAACCTTTCTGATCAACAAGCTCAGCGTCTTAGCCACTGAGCCACTGTGCCACTGCATCCCTAGGGGGACAACCCTAAGAAGGGGCTAAAGGGGTTGGGTTGTGGACATTTCCCCATATTTTCTTTTAAACCTTTTCTTAGGTGGACGGACACTCAGTCCTGGCAGAATTGGCTTAGGCGGTTCTGGGCCTCTGTGTCGGCCCAATGGTTAAAGTGGGTGTGTGAGGAATAATGGATTATATGTGGTTGAGTTGTTGTCAACCCTAAGTGATCACATAGATAGATTTTCTGCATGGTGATTTGTTTCTAAACTAGTCTCTCAGATCATCTTTTGGTACACTCATCACTGGGGAGTCTGTCCATCTTGCTGCTGGTTGCACTCTTCTTCTTTTCCTTTTAGATTTCCCAGCATTTGAGATGCTAAAAGATATTCTACACATGGTCGGTTTTAGTCTGCTGTCTGTAAAAAAAACAAGTAGGGACCTGTCATTTTGCACGGGGAGATTGCCACATAATATTTTGTTATAAAGAAGATGCAACTAGGTACACTATTCACTAAAGGACTTTTCTTATGATATTAATATAGATAATACAGAAAATGTGTATATACATGGCTTGAAAAATGTATGTCATAATAAGTACATTTCTATAGCCACCCTTCTCAATGATTCTGATGGTTAGAGTTTTCTGTTGTAAGTGGCTAAGCAAGTTCCAAGCCCTTTAATTTAATTTTACAATTTATTTAATAAAAGAAAGCTTTTTTTAAAAAGAAGACAACAATGTAAATTATAGATCTCACATACCAGGAACACTAAATTCTAATTTATTTCTTTTCCCAGTATGTAAGAAAAGGGATGTACACTTGAGTTTGCTTTTAATACAAACACTTTTAATCAAAATCATGTTAAATAATGCCTTTAAAACATAAACTAATGTTTTATGTTGATCAGATTAATATAGTTTGTAGATAGCCATGACTCATAAACTTTTAGATGTTATCAATTACATTCAGAAGTCTATTGGATTCCTATGTGATAAGCTATGGTTTGCTAACATTCCTAGGCTTTCCAGAGCCACAATATGCCTAGCTTTCCTGACCAAACTAGATAGATAGAAACCATCTGTCACTGAAGTAACTCAGTCCTACGAAAACAGATGCAAAAATATGGCAAGCATAGGAAATTTAGAATGAAGGTATAATTTCTTAAAATGCTTACATATTGAACGGAAAGTACACAATCGCAGTATGTAGCAGTTTTATATGAACTGACAGTTATTTTTGAAGGAATTCTTGTAGTTTACTGTAATGAAGGATCGTTTGCAAGTGACGTTTTTAGTTATTTTACTGTATATCTGAGATCTCATAACAACATACTGTGAGTTAGGCTGAGATAAAGATAGTGACCCAACAAATCACCGAACAAATTTAACTGCCTGGATATTTCTAGTTTCAATCCAATATATCAGTAATTCCAGTGGTGCTAGAATTAATGTAGTTTAGCTTTGTAGTACAAGGTATATGTAAATTCATATGTGTGGCGATTCAGAGGAAATGAATGAAACAGTATTGGTACAACTAATATGATATTGTTGGATAATATATAGAATCTAGGTTCATAATAAAGTATTGAATTAAAAAACCTGCAAATGAATAAACCTCTTTTCTACATACAATAGTTAAGGTGGAATTCATTTCAGAACTTTTATTTCTATCAAAGCTGAATTGAAAAACACAGTATTAGTTCTCATTGAAAATACATATGCTAGCAGTGCAGATCAAGTTGATAAACTTTTTTGTTGGGATAATCTATTTAGACATGCATTATACATGAAAATGATGGATAAGATTGAAGCAAGAATGGCATAGCTAGAACAGAAAATACCACCATTTCTTTTATTCCTATTATAGCTTACAGTATCTCACTTCAGATAATCAAAAGACTAAATTGATCAATAGCAAAAATATTTTATAATTAGCTTGAGGGTCATGAATGTAAACCAGTTGCCACACATAATCTGGACTGCAGATTGCCTATCCCTGTTACCTTTGGAATTCATTTACAACATATGTTTGTAATGAATATATGACCTTGAATTCTTTTCTGGATTTAAAATCCTATATTATAGTGATTCATCTGATCTAGGTCTTTCTTGGGTGGCAATTATGGTAGCTGCAAGCAGCCACAGCACTGTCTGGGCCTTTAGAAAATGTAAAGGCTATTTTAGGACTATACATTTTCTAACTTTTGTTTTTTCGGTGGTTCTTTTGCCATTTGAATGCCGACATTAGCTCCATCAGTAAGCTAAGTAGGTTCAAAACTGACAGGCAGATCTGAGATAAAAGGGAGGGGGCTATAGACAGGGCATAAATTAGACTAATTTGAATCAGGAGTGACAAGTTGTGTTAAAAAATTTGGTTCATAAGCAAATTAATGCAACAACTTCTAATGGTAATAGTTATATAAGCTATAACTCTTTAAGGGTATCTTTTTGATGTACTAAAGTGTGTGTGCGTGCACGCGTGTGTGCTTCTGCACGCACACAATCATAGTTTGAATTTATTTTTTCATGTCTAAAAGTGTATTCCATATCCACAGCTGATTTTTCAGACTATTGGTTTGATAAATTACCATGTAAAACAATTAATATTTGTTTATTTTATCAGAAACAATCTACTGAATGTAGAAGGAAAGCCAGTTATTGATGTAGAAAATGCCTCTTAGAGACAAGTACTGTCAGACTGACCACCACCATGGATGCTGTGAACCAGGTAATAGAATTGTCTTAATACTAAAATTCCCACTTTTGCAATTTTTGTATTTTTCACATATTAAGTTTTATTTTCTGTGAAATACTTGGGTAAAATATATTAATGTTACATGAAATTGTTTAGATATAGCATGTTTATGTGTCTGGACTTGACAAGTGTAGTTTATTTTATTTTATTGTACCATGCCTTTATTATTTTAACAGATAACTCAAGGTGGCAAACCTATCCAATACACCTTCCTCTTACAATTTTCCCACAACAATAGCTCTATGAGATGAGTTGGGCTGAGAGAGACTGACTGGCCCACAGTCACCAAGCTTGCTTCCATGGCTAAAATGAGATTAGAACTCAGACTCCTGTTTTCTAGCTTGGTGCCTTAACTACTAGACCAAACTGACCAGTGTTCTAATACATATGGAACAGTTTTTGTAAATAAATAGTTTGATAAATAAGTATAAAACAATATTTTATATACTGAAATATAATAAAACATAAATATGATTTTCAGGCTAAAATAGCTGTATACCTCGATCCTGAGTATTTAGTATATATGCATATAGCTTAGAAACAATTTTTCAAATTTTTGTTGAAATTAAAGAAAGAAGTTTGTGTGTGTGTGTGTGTGTATGCATGTTCTGTGAACACACACACACACACACACACACACACACACACACACTCTTAATGTTAGAGTATGTGCTCCATTGGAGAATCTGTGGGATACTTTTTATGAATATAGTTATTGCCTATGTATTCATGCTGATCGAAGAAATTGTGTCATTGTTTTCAGTGAGCTTTCTCCCAAGTAAATATCTATATACCTGAGGAAAAAGTTCACAATTTTGGTTAGTTTTATGGCTGAATAGGCAGTGTAAGACTTTATATTAATTTTTAGAAGGTGCTTTGAAACATTTGTTTCAGTTGTAGGACCTCTCTGTACACTTTTCCCAGGTCCATATAATTTCTATCTGCATCTGTCACATGTGTCTTCGAAGGGAGAGGTGATGTGAGGGATTACAGTAACTGCAGAAGGTTATCAGGAAGGAGATAGCACATTCCAAAGAAGGGGGCTAGACAAGAGACAACATAATTTGAAGCTGGATTGTGGAAAGAGAGAGAGATTTAAGATAGCCTTTCCCAGGATAATATAGATTTAGTCTGGCAAGATTCTGTCTATATGATGTAAGAAAAAATAATTGAACTTTACCTGGATTGTGCTACATTGTTCTTGGGCTAGTTTGACACATGACCCTAGGAAAAAGACAGCAGTTTCAAGGAAATGTAGGGATGTGTTACATTCATGTCCTTACATATAAAATATTGTAATACATTCTGAAGTATTATGAGAATCATATTTGAAACATTGCATAACCCTATTACTGAGGAGATACTGTATAAACAGTGTACCAAAAGTCAGACCCCATATTCAAATTCCAATGTGCTTTTATTAATTTTCTTTTCAGAGAAAATATTACTTAGGAACATTCAAAGGTCACATATCAAATTAGTAAGGAAGAGTTTAGAAAAAAATGGCAACAAATCCAAACATTTAAATTATAATAAATGATAAAATGCTAAAATATAATAAACATTAAATATTATAATTTAAATATATACACCTTGTATATTATTCCAAGAATTGAAAGTTTCATGTAACTATTATAGTATATTCTAAGGCAACATGCTAGCCATTATATATTAATATCTGATGTATTACCAACATCAAGACCATAACCACATAGTTTAAATCAGAGAATGTTCTTCTCCATCTAAACCTAGCCTTAATTGCCTCACTTGGCTGGCCCAGGGGCAAAATATATAATTGAATATCATCAGCATATCTGTATGCTGATGATATGGTATGATATGATAAGGTTAACTCAGACTCCCATCCTTCTGAAGTGGGTAAAATGAGGACCCATATTGTTGGGGGCAATATGATGACTCTGTAAACTGCTTAGAGATGGCTGTAAAGCACTGTGAAGTGATATATACTGGTAGGTTTAAGTGCTATTGATATTGTTATACCTCAAACTGCATATGACCTCACCCAGTGGTTTTGTGGAGATACTGAAAAAAAAGGGAAAGAATAAAACCTACAGCCTATAAAGGAGGGGTAGGGAATGATCCGTCCTCTCAACCAACACTGATTGGAACCAGTCACAGAGAAAGGAAGAAAACCACCACAAAACAGTGCCCCCAGTTCCCAGGGCCAGCACACAAGGATATTGGGATGAAGAGTGTCAAAGGCACTGAGAGATCAAAGAATACAAGAATTGGTACATGAGCTAAATAATGTTTTGTTTAGATCTACACAGGGTTCATAAGAGGCATTTTATACTGCAGAGGTATTTTACATAATATAGGTGTACAGGTTGTACAGATGTTTAAAACTAAAGGAATTAATTCATTTATAGTACATAAATATGCTAATGATTGTAGAAGAATTGTTTTACTGAAACATATAATTGATTAATATAGATTTTTTTAACATGACTAAAATTTTCCAGCATGCTCTACAGTTGAGATAATTGTTTTCCTTGCAAATATAGTCTAAATTATTGTTGTTGCTGCACTAATATCAATTAAAAAAATGACACAGAACACATTTTATTTTTCCTTTGATAAATTATGTGCCTTAGAAGTACAATATGTATCTATTTGTATACATGTGTCTTTTTTTGAATTTCTGTGTTATATGTGAAAAAATATTTGTGTTATATGTGAAAAAATATTTCTGTGTTATGTTAACAAAATAGATTAATACTTAATTAACAAAATGTACACTTGCTTTTCCTCAAAAACAAAAGCATGAAGCACAAACAAAAACTTAAGTTGGTTAAGTATATGCCACCATTCATGTAGTGACTCAATTAAAATTTCCATTTTCAATATTTTATAGTACGTGTGCTGGAACCTGGAGACCCACCTTTATTACAGCAGCCTTTTCATACATCAAAATCTGGAATCCAGCAAATTATTGAATGTTTTCGATCAGGTATACTTCTTTTGTTTATTATTTTTCTTTTTTTTTCTTTTAATATTTTTGGGATACTTTCATGATTAATTCATTTTACCATGTACAACCTTATTTGGCCTGAAGAGATGCTTGTCATCTGAGTACAATATCTAGAGCTTTAAACTAAAAAAAGTAGGCAGTGTCAGGACAAAAAAATTAATTTAACTTAATTTAACTTTTAATGGTCATTAAGTCAGTTAATTCCCATGTAATATTTTTCATAACAACATCATTACCCAGACCTCCTTTCTGAGTGATATGAGTGGTTAAGAAATATGAAATATAAACTAATGAACTAATTAATTTACTAACTAACTTTTGGAGATACTAGATCAGTGATGGCAAACCTATGGTACATGATCCAGAGGTAGCAGGCAGAGTCACCAGCTGCTCTTCTGATTTCCGGTGCCAGCCAGCTGGTCTTTGCAAGCGCTGGAGTGCTAGAAAACGGGCATGTGTGTGCTGGCCAGCTGGTCTTTGGGTTTCTGGTGCTCAGGGGTGCCAGCAAACCATCTGGTAGCGCGCATGCACACCAGCCAACTGGTCTTAAGGTTTCTGGCGTTCCGGTGCACGGACATGCACATGCTTTCCAGTTTGGTCACTCAGTGCTGAAAAAGTTCACCATCACTGCTCTAGAGGTTATAAGAATGACTTTGGAGGTTACAAGTTCTATAGTAATGGCAATAATAAAAGTAAAAACTTTGAATTCCATTTTATGTAAATAAATTTGAATACACATATCTTGTTAGGTATTAGAATATACTTTTTATCTAAGAGTCTTAAAATGTACCTACGTATACTTTACATTCATTCTAAATTATGAAAATATCTCAGAGCTGTCTTATAAATCTACATGGACTGTCAGATTTCTCTGCAGTATTTTAGTGTATATTCACTACAAGTTAATATGACTGTAATGAATAATACTGCAATTAGATTATTTTACAATTGTCCTGGACCACTTGTCCCTTTTGATCTATCACTCAAAATATTTTCCCAATTTATAATCTTTGTTTTTTATGTACACAATTTCTTATCTATGTAATAATTTGATTTAGAATAAGAGATAAGCTGTTCAGTCATTTTGAATGTGTCTAAAGCATGAAACATTTCCAAGATGATAGAAGCAGTTCATTTTACACTTAAATTAGTTCTTGCATAGTGAAAACAGAGCATTTTGAACTCAAGGCAGCTCATGTTTTGTTATCAAGGTAGCTTGAACTTCAAGCATTTTGTAGCCCTCAGAGGTATTGAGCTTGTAGCTTTTGTGTCATATCAGGCATAGATATTTTAAATGAAAGTATGACCTACGTCATGTTCTACCTGGTGTTCCTACTATGACTGTAGCCTGGTTGAGGTATCCTTAGTAGAATTGCTGCAGTACACTTAATAGGCTTATCCATCAGTTTTTCTGAAATCTGCATTTGGTGCAGAACATATCCTCCTATGATGAAGTAGGATGAATGAATCAAAACATGAAGCACCTCAATTATAGAAGACTCTCCAAAATAGATCAAATATCTCCCAACCGGTCTTCTTTCAGGAAACAGTATGATTTATATCGAAGACATAACTGTTCATTCAGGAAATTATAGTATAACATTCTAAGATCAGAGTGCTTTAATGCTTTCATATTGCTACTTAAGAGTGTAGTTTTTATTGTTGATAATAGTAATGATACTTTTCAAAAAAATCTGTTTTCCTTTAAATGATTCTAGAGTATTGTAAAATATTACTGGGAATTGTGGCTTTTTAAATAACATAAGGTTTTTAATTATATATAAACTAGTAAAACTAGCAAAACAACAGGTGGTAAGGCTACATAACTATTAAACAATAGTCATGTATTCCATATGTTTCATGATGGCATTACAATAGAACCTTTATTATACAGTAGAACCTCTGATCACGAACGCTTCTGACCATGACCAAATTGGGTTCCCACCAAATAATTCACAATTTTTTTTTTTGCAGCCGATTTTCCCTTCCGCACCATTTTTTTTTTTTTTGTAAATACCAAATTTCCAAAATTATGTTTGGGTCAAGACCAAATCAGTTTACGACCAAAGTTATGGAACAAATTATGGTCGTGACCAGAGGTTCTACTGTGTCACTTTTTATGCTACCCACACTCACAGCTGAGGTAGACGGAAGGAAGGGAGGGAGGAAGGGAGGAGAGACAGAGGGAGAGAGAAAGGAATAAAGAAGAAAGAGAAAGAGAGCACGCGAGAGAGAAAGAATAAAGAAAGATAGATTGTATATAACAGCCAGAATATTTGTATAGCCTAAACTGGAGAATGAAGAAGAATTAATGCATTCTTGAAACTTATAGATAGGAGCATGCATCTGCCAGTTAAATTATACCTGGTAAGCTTGTAGCATGCAAACCAGATATTTTCTAAGCACATTGTTGAAGCAATCTTATTATTTTCAGGTAAAGTGGCTTTTTTGCATGGATGAAATATTACCACACAATTCGTTTGAATTCTACTGTTTTTGATGGTTAGATAAAGCATTTTTTTTTATCGTTTAGCTAACATCAGTTAAAGCGAATTGTTCAAGTGAATATGCTGTCCTGGTAAAAATTTTTAAATGATTTGTTTAGGAACTAAACAACTCAAGCATATTTTGCTAAAAGACGTGGATACCATTTTTGAATGCAAATTCTGCCGCAGTCTCTTCAGAGGGCTACCAAATTTAATAACTCATAAAAAATACTATTGTCCACCAAGTCTTCGGATGGATGACAGTAAGTTTCTCTTCTATAAATTTTCTTCTTCAAATTTGAAAGTTATAATGGGATAATGCTTTTAAGGATAGTGATTGTTAAAATATAGCTTTTTTTCTATAAAGCATGCATACATACTCTTAAAAATACAATTTCTTGTATCTGTACTATATTCGTACTGTACATTATGAATAGAAGATACCTCTTACAGGAGTTTCTAAAGAGAATGGAAAAGGGCAAAGGTAATATTAAAAATATGAGCAAATAAATTGGCAGGTATTTATTTTAATTTATCTTTAAAAAACTTGTGGTTACACACTATATATAAGTATTCTGTGAGGTACTGTATGTGATGGGATTTTGAGCTACTCATTTCCCTTTCCTTTCTGAAAAAAAGGTGGTTAATGTTTCCAGAACAGAAAAGGCTGAATGTTAGTTCATTTGAATGTCTATGGAAGAGCATTTATGGTGCTGTCTTCTCCTCTTATAATCTTGTCTTAATGTACTTTACTGTTATATTATTTTTTAAAAAAACACTTTTTAGTGACAGTTGTAAAATTGTCTAATTTAAACACTCTGTTTTATATTTTAGACTCTCCTGATATAAATGATAAACAGAGTCAAGCCATAACTGATCTCCTAGAAGCTATGTATCCACGAGTGAACAAGCAAGATTATATAATACGTTTGGAACCTATAGAAACAAACCAGAATGCTGTATTTCAGTATGTCTCAAAGGCAGATAGTTCAGTGGAGAACACTGACCCAAACGCTATTCCTGACCAAGCTTCTGTAGAAACACCAGAACATGCAACAGAACCTCCTCCTAAACCAGTGTCAGATACTTCAGAAACAAAAGCTGAAGAGACTCCTCCCTTAGTTGTTGACAAGATAATGCCAACTCCAGAAGAACCTGCCCCATGTTCAAAACCTGAATTAGAATGTGATAATAATTCTGATTCGGGTCATCAATTAATTTGTTCCCTGTGTAAAAAAGAATTTCATTCCAGACGCAGTATACGCCGTCATATTAGGAAAGTCCATAAAAAAAAGATGGAAGAACTAAAGAAATTTATTCAAATTAAAAAAAGGCCAAATCAGATATCTAGAAGGGGTCGCAATAAGAATGTTTTGGTAACTTTGGGTAAAAGTTGTCCTTTGTGTATTAAATCATTTGCTACAAAAGCCAATGTAAGAAGGCATTTTGATGAAGTTCATAGAGGACTGAGACGGGATTCTATAACTCCTGATATAGCTACAAAACCTGGACAGCCTTTATCCTTGGATAAAACCTCTGGAAAAACTGCTAGAACACAAAAACAAAAGCCTTCAAAAGCTGAGTACAATTTAACTGCTTGCAAATGCCTCTTGTGTAAGAGGAAATATAGTTCCCAGGTAATGCTTAAAAGGCACATGCAAATTGTTCACAAGATAACTCTTTCTATTAAGAATCCTAAAAGAGAGCGAAAGCCTAATGCAGAAGTGAAAGTGAAAATCGAACCAGCAGAATCTACAGTATCTACGCCTTCCATCTGTAGTTCTTTGCAGAATGAAGTAAAGGGAATAAATAATTCAAATGAAAGAAAAAATACATCATCCATTGAGAGAAAGAATGCAGTATCCAGTGAAAAAAAGAAAACACCCACTGAACGAAAAGGCATATCATCCACTGGAAAAAAGAATGTAACTCCAGCTAAAAAAAATAAAGTTAAGCAGACCTGTCAGAAATCAAAGTCAAATAACCAGTCTCTTGCAAGTGGTCTCAAAAAGCCCAGGAAGCCAAGGCTGTCAGTTGGCTTTGATTTTAAAAAGCTTTACTGTAAACTCTGTAAACGCCAATTTACTTCTAAACAAAACTTAACAAAGCACATTGACTTGCACACAGATGGAAATAATATTTATGTTAAATTCTATAGGTGTCCCCTCTGCACTTATGAAACACGCCGGAAGCGTGATGTGATAAGACACATAACTGTAGTACATAAAAAGTCTTCACGTTACCTTGGTAAGATAACTGCAAGTTTAGAAATCCGAGCAATAAAAAAACCTATTGACTGCATTCTAAAAAAGGTGGCAAAAAGAGGCCCTCAGAGGGATGAAGGTAAACAGAATGGTTCAAAACAAGACATTACCTCTAACTCGCCAAATAAAAAATATGAAGGAACTGATGTTGGCATTGAAGTGAAAGTCACAAAAAACTTTTCTCTGCACAGATGCAATAAATGTGGAAAAGCATTTGCCAAAAAGACTTTCTTAGAACATCACAAGAAGACTCATAAAGTAAATGTGACACATTCACCTGAAGACAACAAAACCAAAGGCAGAAGTACAAGATCTAAAGCTCTTGTCTGTTGAAGAATACTAGTGCCTTCTTAAATACATGCCTAAATTTTCCATTGGTACTTAAACTGCAATCACATTTTTATAGATCTAATGCTTCAGACGGTAAAAGACTCTTGCATTCATTAAAAAAAGCGTTTTAAGATTTTTTTTCATGGCAGTGAACCTAAAAGCAGTTTAAGTTAATACACACACAATTCTTCAAAGTTTAATATTATATATTAGTATTTGCATAATATTTTGTTAATAGTTCCATAGTTCCAAATGATTTTTAAAATTAACTTTGCACTTCATTGGTGCTGACCAGGCACAGCAAGCATATATGAACTGAAGATCTATAGATGTGATGTCGCCTCAGTATGTTGCTTTAATACATCATTTTTGGCATAAAATTTGGAAAATACATTTGTATTTTAAATTAATGTTATATAATTCTTAAACCCTAGAGTTAATACTTTTGTATTTAAACCACCATTCCTTTTGTATTAGGAGAAGATTGTCACTCAAAAAAAAATCTTTTATTTGAGGAGTGTTTTTGGTAGTTGGTCATTTCCCCCCGAAATTTTAACTTCTTTTTTACATAATTAATTTGGACTGGGTAGGGGTATCAGATAGCCTATTTTATTGTATGTAATGAAAATATGGAACAGTTCCAAATTACCTTTCCTTTAATTGAAAAATCTTGGACAACCAGCAGTTAAAGAAAGAATAGTGTTTTTAAATTCCTATGACAGAGAAAACTTGTTTCAATTTAAGAGAAATGTGAGTGTATCTCAGTAAACAGGTGCAACAACTTCTTTAATTGAAGGTAACTTCATACAATTAAATTACTTGTTCTGGCAATTTAAAAATTATGTAAGACAAGTTTCCAAGCATTTGAAAGGTATTTTCAGGTTGGTTGAAAGGTTGGCTGGTTAGTTTTTCTTTTCTTTTCGCTTTTTATAAAATAAAAAAATGGATCTCTAAACCAGTGATAATCTAGACCTTTGAACCTATAGCTTATTTTTCCCTTTTCCCCATATTTAGAAGGGGACTTGTCAGCAGTGAGGGAAGTGATACAAAGAGAACACAGAATTTTTAGTAAAGGTGTCCCTTCCTATCCTGTAGATAAAAGTTTCTACTGGATCAAAAATTATGGGTATCAATTGAATGTTTTCTCACTTTTTACCCAAATGAGCAACCAACTTATCAGAGAAAATCTGATTTCTATGTGGTAAGCTTATATGCTACTAATAAACAGAAAACCTTTAAAATCGGTTATAGTTTATATTATATATGTATTTCTCCTTAGTTAAAATAATGTGATAATATTTGAAATTAGAACCACTAAAATCTAGAATAGTAATATGAGAATAAGCTGTTTTCAGATTAAATGTGTTGACTCTTAAACAATGTAACATCTTGCCTAATATTTTCAACAAAATTAAAATTCATTAAATATAACACCTAAAATTGAAAACGTGATGCAGTTCTGGAGTGCTAGTAATGAAATGAACATTTTAAAAGGAAAGTTTGCAAATATTTTAAAATTAAATTACCACCTAGAACAGGTGCTTCCTAGGTGTGGTCCTTACTTAATTCTGATTTTACTGAAAAGATTTTATGTTCGTTGTGATATACTACTAAGCAAATGCTTTGTGATGTACTTAAAATATTTTTATATATATATAAATGAATGTATATGAGCAGTTTTCTTAGTATAATTTGAATGAATTGTAATCTAGCATTTGCTTTAAATTCAATTCATGGTTGAGTAATTTTGGGGAGTATTAAATCTGAATTGTACTATCAAAATCTATAGTGATTTTGAATGATTAGCACATTCAACAGTTTTTCATATGGAGGTTTACAAACTACCGACATTCCCCTATTTTAATTGTTCTTTAAAAAAATAAAATTACACACAAGCACTTTAATAGCCAGAGTTTAAATTTCTTTTAGTGATTTCTTCTAAAGACATTACACTAATATTCCTGTGAAGATAGTAGTTGGTTTTTTTTGGTAGTATATTCAGATTCAAATATTTGTTTTGTAGTTTGTTAATTATTGCCTAAGAATAATAGTGCAAGGATTTTTTTTGTTTTGTCCACAAAATGTTGAATGACCACTTTAGGTAGCACTTGGCTTTTTTTGTAAAGTTTATGAGGGGCTTGCTCATTATTGTCTATTTTATAATCAGTTCTATAGCAAAACAGTAGCACACCTTCCATTATGAATTTTTGGCAGGTTTGTGCACTTTTTTAAAAATTTTAGAAAATGTTTAGTGATTTGTGTCAAATTGCCAGATACTGAATATCAGAAGAAACGCCGTTTGTAAAATACTGGTTGACTCCCTTGCTAAGGGAATGCCTTGTGTCCATATAAACCTTTTGTACAAAATATATCTAAAAATGTTGATCATAAATAAAAAAAAATATTCTTTTTTGAATAGATAACATGTTTGGCCTTTTAGTGCTTTGCACTAAAAAACTGTGAATGGAAAATGGACTGTAACTGTTTCTGGAAATGTTCTATGTTGAATGTACATGCTTGGATAAATGTACTTTATTTGAATAAACTGGAAATTATTTCAGCTAAATATACTTACGCCCTCTTTATAAAATGCATAGTTAGATATTGTTTATATACATTACCATGGAAAACCTGTAAGAACAGTGACTATATCAGATTTATGCAGTTTAGGGTGCGAGATTTGTTTTCTTCTTTTCTTCTAGGGCAGTGATGGCAAATTTTGGGGGCATGTCAAAAATTCAAAAAAATGCCTAAATTTGACTTTGCTGGCATGTCATGCATTCTCTCTCAGCTGCCTCATTTTACTGACCTCAGAAGGATGGAAGGCTGTCAACCTTGAGCCAGTGAGAATCAAATTGCAGGCAGCCAGCAGTCAGCAGAAGTAGACTTACAATACTGCATTTTGTGCCACCACAGTTCATATGAAATGAAAACTATGTAGCTTCCTATCCTTTAATCAAAGCAAAGGCCTGGGGAAACACCCCAGACTTCAGGGCTCTTCAAAGTTTCAGCAAATTGGGGGGGGTGTGTGTTTAAATCTTGGGAGATACTTCATTCCATAGGGTAGGTGGTGCGATGGGGAAGATAAGATGCACTTCTGGGGTACTGATAGATCACATTGATTAAGTAGAGAATGTACTCTAGCCTGCCAGATCATATAAGCTGAGACATACATAATGAACCAAATAAAATGTTAAAAAGTTATATTTATGTAGTTACTTACCAAGTACATCTAAATTAAAGTAACCAAAATATATTTGCAATCCCCAAGGGATGTTACAACTTTTGAGCAACCCAATGTTTGGAAATTGAAAGTTGAAAAATTTGACACGTCCTAACAGATTCACAGACCTAATAGAAAGGTTGACAGTTTGGCAGTTGAATCCCTAGCGCTGAGTAACGGAGTGAGCTCCAGTTCTAGCTTCTGCCAACCTAGCAGTTCAAAAGCACGTAAAAAAAATGGAAATAGAAAAATAGGAACCACCTTTGGTGGGAAGGTAAGAGTGTTCCATGCACCTTCTGTGTTTAGTCATGTCAGCCACATGACCACAGAGACGTCTTTGGACAGTGCTGGCTCTTCAGCTTTGAAACTAAGATGAGCGCTGCCCCCTAGAGTCGGGAACGACTAGCACATATGTGCAAGGGGAACCTTTATCTTTAACAGACTCTCAAGTAATCAGGTCATATGGGCTTTACAGGTAGCAAACAAT